TGCAGCTTCATCTTCAAGCAGGAATGAGTAATGATAATGGTTCTGGTTGTGGGCTGGAGCTGGGTATGATGTTTGCAATGGAACAATTGCCACAGGTGTGGGATCCTTGCATGTGAGCATCAGAGTGGGATTAGTCAGAGGACCATATGGTTTCACAGTGGTGGATGTTGGCGCAGGTGCAGATGGCTCAGATGCCTGGCAAGTGGCATGCAAACTTTGAGCACCAGGGGAAATGATTTCCTCTTTGACAGTGGCTGCATGAGGATCTACTTGTGGAGGGTTGGCCAGACATGCCATGGGTCGAGCTGTAATCTCAACCCCATCGAAGCAGGCTTTCTTTCCACAGGACATGACTGCACCCTTGTTCCCTTTGTCTGCCTGATACATGGCCCAAGCTTGGGCGACATATGCCTGAAAGTCAGGGTCATCCAAGTCAGTGGCTGATTCATCTACATCCTGGACAGTGTTCAGAAAGGCAGATGGCTGGATCTCCAGCTGCACATCAACTTTGGGGTGAGCAACACAAAGGAGGTTAGCAGTGCCTTGCACAGGTGTGTTGTGCAGAACAGCAGGAGTCGCAGTGTGTGCACTGGCCTGGTCTCTGTCAGCTGTGACATGGTCAACAGCTTCTTTCAGTGAGTTGCATTCAGGGAAGTGTGGAATTTGGCTTCCATCTGCAAGATAGAGATGGTTGTCCATACCCCTTGTGATCTTACTGGTGCAGATATAGACTTCAACAAGTGCACACATCCTTGTGCAGTGATTGGGGTCTGTGCAGAAGCTGCAGCCAGGTCTGTGTTGCTGGGGTGGATGCTGTGTCTGGAAGTTATATTCTTGCTTGACAACAGCACCAGCAGGTGGCATCTGCAGCATGTAGGCTGGCAAGGGAGGTGCAGCTGGTGGGGCCATGGTAGCCATTGTCAGTACTGCACTACATAGAGTGGATCCTGTCAGCAGGAACTTGGCAGCTTTGATGACTTCTGCAAGCAGGTATGGGTCATCTGGGTGGAGGTCAGTGTGGACTATGGAGAGTCAATGAAAAATATAATTTGTGATGGCCCTTGGGAAGCCATTAAGGAACATGGAGTCCCATTCTGTCTCTGCTAGCTTTTGAGTTTTAATGAGGAGGGCAGAAATCTTAGCAAATTTCTGCTGATACTCTCTGAGGTTGTCCTGGTTTTGCATAGGCTTGGATTGGTATTCTTCAACAAGGTACTGCAAGTCTGTGTGGCAGTAGTGGTCATCACCTTTGCAGCCAGGGTACAAACCCTTGACAGCAACTACAAAGGCATCCCAGTCATTGGCCACAGGTGTAGCTTCTGGAAGTGTTTTCCAGACCTTGGCTTCTTCGAGGTCAGCATAGCAGATTGCAGCTCTGATCTTGCCATGGTCATCAAGAGCAGTGAGAGTACCCAGGAAGTCAATGTCTTTGAGGTAGTGTGGAAGCTGCACAGGGGAATCTCCACTAAATTTAGGTGAGTTTTGTGTACCATGGAACAGCATCTGAAACTGAGGATTAGCCATTGGTGGGTTAACCTGTGGTGGCGGTGCCAGATTGGTAATGGGTGGAATGGGTATTGGTTGCAGATGTGGAGCAGTTGGTATGGTGTGTGAGCAGACTAGTGGAAGTGTTGGCAGGTTACTAATTGGCTGATGGGTGGTCTGCAACTGAGTGAGTGGTTGCAGCAGTGTGGTGGATGGAACTGAGAGTCTGGGTATAGATTTGGAGGCATCAAAGAGATGGGAAAAAGAAGGCATTGGTGATGATGAATCAGATGTTGTGATGGTGGGGTTTTGGGTCTTTGAGGAGTCAAGTGGATAAAGCCACCAGGAAAATCAGGGGCAGTGAGATCTAGGTGATCCAGCATGACAGATATCCAATGTGCCAAAATATCAGGAGGAGTGATTGTGGGTAGTACCCATGGAATGTCAGTGGGTAATTGTGTGTGATCTGGTGTTACAGGTGAAACAGGGTGGAAGAGGTCAGAGTCTTCTGACAGGTTGAGGTTGTGAAAGTGCAGGCATAAATTTTCTAGTTCAGTGCATTTGGTGGTGCACCTGAGTGACCTTCTGGAAGCAACAGCAGAATCCCTGGCAGTGGGCTCCAGTTGTAGGAAAAGTCCAAGTAGCTGTATGATACAAGCTAGATGGCTTAGATAACAACAATAAAAAATGAAGGGAATGAATTGCTCATCCCAAGGGATTCTGAACTGCTGAGACTAGAAGGTGAGACCCAGCACATTAGTACTGGTGATGTGAGTGGTGTGAGCAGTATACATAGTTCATGTGTGGTGGTATGTGAGACATGTGGTGTAGATGAAGTGAAAAAGAACTTGTGTTGACCTTCTGAGTGCCAAAAGGTATTATTCCATACCTAAGTACAGAGCTTTATAGTCCAGGCAAACCTGGAACCTAAGTAAGACAGAGTACAAGTGAGGAAAAAGGCATGCAACAGCATGTACACACAAGACAGGCCGGAACAGAGGCCAAGGGTATACTACCAGCACAAAAGGAACAGAGACTGTGATAAAAGAAAGAGTCTGAGGGAAAGGAGGTGACTAGAGCACAGTGGCCACAGGTATAGCATTGTGTGAGAGGGAGTGAGGGCATGGGAAGGTAGTGAGGTAAGCAGGGAGGCAGTGCATGAATGGCAGTGTATGAAAGAGGTCCAGGAACATAATGATAGTCATGGAATGGTAGATGATAGGGGCTTACATGTCCAAGGAATGCAGATTCCTTACAGTGCTGCTCTCATGCTGAAGGCAAAAGTGCTTCGCAGGCTGGTCACTCCAACCTCCACCCAACAACCTTCCATACTCTGTCTCCTCATAACCGAGATGATGGACCTGACCCTGACCCTGATGACCCTGATGGTGGTCCCAATGGCAGGGGCAGTGGTGATGGGGATATCCCCAAAGACCTGGCTGAGCCACCAGAGGATCCCCTTGTAGCTCTTGCTAGAGCTGTCCATGTGCTTGTGTGGTCTAGTTCATGCACTGGGGACTCTGCTCTGAAAACCAAAGTCTGCAGGCCTGACACCTTCAACAGCTCTGACCCTAAGAAACTCCACAAGTTCCTTGTACAATGTGAGCTGAACTTTCAAGACTGCCCCCACACATTGTGCTCTGACAGGGTGAAGGTTACCCTCACTCAGTCTTATCTTAAGGGTATGGCTCTGGCTTGGTTTGAGCCAGACCAACTAAACCCTGAAAATTATGACTGTCTGCTCTGGATGGATGACTACCACAAGTTCTTACACAAGCTCACAACCAATTTCAGTCTGCATGATGCCATAGTGGATGCTGTCCAACAACTTGAGAACCTTACTATGAAGGATGGCTCTCAAGTTACTGAATATGTCATGGAGTTCAATCACTGGGCTTCGCAGGTCAAAGACTACAGTGTTGGTGCACTCTGCCACCACTTCTATACTGGACTCCCAGACCACATCAAAGACAAGATCACTCATGTCAGAAAACCTTCTACCCTTGCACAACTCTGTGAACTTACCCAAACCATTGATGCACACTACTGGGAATGTAAAGCAGAAATTTTGTGCACCACCAAGTCTGCCACTGACAAGTCACAGTCCTCCAACTCTGACAACAAGCCTAAATCATCATCCTCTGCCTCCACTCTGAAGTCCAATGCAAAGGGCAAGGGCAAGCAGAAAGATCCCCCCAAGTCCAACATTGCCCACCTCTTGGGTAAGGATGGCAAACTCACCTCTGCTGAATGCCAGCACAGGATGAAAAACAACCTCTGCCTCTTCTGTGGTGAGGCTGGCCACTCTGCTAAGGACTGCCTCAAGTCCACCTCTCATGCAGCAAAAGCCTGTGCAGCTACAGTTGGAACTCCACCTCCTCCACCTGCAGAGAAAGCAGAGCCAAAAAATTAGTCCACTCCTACAGGGAGCTTGCACAGCCTGGAGGAAGCATTGATCCCAACTGTGTGCAACTGGACATCTGACTCAATGTGTCTGCTCTCTCTAGTCTGAATTCTTTACTTCCATCTGTGACTCTTTTTGATTATTCTGTTGATACTGTTTCTGCATTGATCGATTCTGGCTCTTCTCATTGTTTTGTAGACCCATTCATAATCAAAAAATATACTATTCCTGTTTCCTCCATTTCTCTTCCAATTCCACTCCACTTGTTTGATGGTAGTACAAATGCTGTTATTTCCCAAGAAGTAGATCTTTCCCTCCACTTTCCTTCCAGCGATGTCAACTCCATTTCATTTTATGTTACTCTGTTGGATTCTTCATGCTTGCTGCTATTAGGACACTACTGGCTCACCTGCTTCAATACATTGATTGACTGGCTACTGGGCAGTATATCATTCAAACCATCATTACAGGGAATGCCAACACCCCAGGTGCCTTCATCACCTTCTGCTGCGACCTCTGCTCTGGATCTGACACCCTCTGCTCCATCTGCAGTGCTGACTGCAACTCCAACAGACTTGCCATGCTCCGCTCTGCTTGTTTCACTCATCAATGCTGCTGCATATGTCGGAGCCTGTGCTCTCCCTGGCTCTAGACAGTTCTGCTTGCAGCTCTCTGCTGATGATGTGAAGCTTCGTGCATCCTCCACTTCTTCTCCACCTCCTGACCTCTCCTTGGTCCCTCCTGAGTATCACAAGTTTGCCAATGTCTTTAGTAAAGACAAGGCTACTGAACTTCTGCCACACCACTCATTTGATCTCAAGATCAACCTCAAGGAACAAGCTTCTCCACCCACTGGCACAATCTACTTTCTGTCACTGCCAGAGCTTGAAGCTCCCCACACCTTTATTGACAAGCATCTTGGCTATGGTTTCATCAAGCAGTCCACCTCTGCTCCTGGTGCCCCTGTGCTGAAGTCCAATATTTTACTAGGCTGCCAGTTCAAGCTGCAGATGGTAACTGGACTTTCACCAACATTGTGATTGTTTGCTTGTATTCTGTGCCTGATGAAGACTTACTGAAACTTTTGCATCATGTTCTCTTAGCCTCCCAACTACTTGACACTATATCTGTAATTTGCATCAAACAAATCATTAGCATCATTGTGATGATCCCATGGTGGGTGGTCTTGCCCTCAGGCATTGCAGAGCTGGTGTATTGTATGATGGAAAGGCCCAGATTTGATGTATCTGACTGGGGGGTTCCATACAGCATGTATGTTGAAAGAGATGATGAAGACAACAGGCATGAGGATGTTGAATAGTGTGTAGATCAAACTAAATTGTTACTGCAGCTATATCTCAATTCAATCTTTTCACAAGCATACAGATATCAAATGCAATTTGACAGTGTGAATATATGAGTATGACAAAATGATGTGTGGGTATCATAAAAGTCAAGCTAGCCTACAGTGCTTCCCCTGCCTCTCAAGCCTATCCTCATACCTTTCCATTGCTTCCCTCCTATGCATGATTTCGATGGGGAGAATGGAGGGATCAAATGAATGAACATAGTACTTCCAAGGTTGGGATGGTGTGCCCTCCTTGGCCTGGGGATTTCTGTTGTCCCAGGTGAGGATTGTGCAGGGCAACAGAGCTACAGTAGTGGACTGCCTGTGTCAATCATTAGATTTGACTAGACTTTGAATAATCTACTTATGGACTTGTGTCACAATCAGAATCCTCCAACATGATGCTACACTCACTGGATTCTTTGAGCTTGGGAGTAATGGCCTGGCTGGCCTGATGCTTGGGTTCTTTGAGCTTTTGAAGTGGTAAAGTCTTGGCTTGCCCCCTCCAACTTGATGGGATCCTTGTATTCCAGTGTGACATTCTCAAGTGGCATGGGTTGTGCATAGGGTTCCTTAACTCAAGGATGGCTGTATTTGTGGAATTCAGGGTGTTTGATGCATAACATGATCCTCTAACAAGTTCAAAGAGATTAGCAAAGTCAAAAAGCAGATTGGGAGAAAACTTACTCTAGTTCTGCGAGAAGGCATGTCCAATGAAAAGGTATAGGCATCCCAGTGAGAAGAAAGGCCTTCAATGTTGACAACAATGACATTACTGACCATTGTAATAGTTGGAGCAGGAGCAAATGTCAAATTAGTTGGTGGCAACATTTTGTTATGTTTAAGGTAACAAGGTACTCAGTAGCAGTTAATAAGGTATGGGAGAATAACCTTAGCCAAATCTTTGGAGTCATGTCCTCCCCTGTCTCTAGATCACCATGTACTCCCTCAATGTGTCAAAGTTGCACAACACCCCTGACTTCCTCTTAGGGCAGAGTAGGAGCGGGTTAAGCTGCGGAGTACAGCAGTCAAAGTCCAAAGTGAATCCGACCACTGGGTGGTGAGATATTCAATGAACAGTGAGCAGAGGGGTATGGAGGGAAGTTTTGGAGGCAGAGGTTGGAGTCAGAGTTGGAGGTCAGAGGTTGGAGGTTGGACAAGAGGGCATTGGGTTCAGCTAGTGTGCTGCCCCCTTGCACAAGCTCAGCCCTCATATTTCAGAGGTGGAGCAGACTCAGAGAGAATGGGGATGAAACTCCAGAGGGAACTGAGAGGGAGTTGGAGGTGGGGACTTTATTCAATATTTATACTGATTACATTGGAGTACTACATGGCCTTATATATGATGTAGGCCAAGGGTGGTGCAGTGTGGAATGCTAACCAATAAGTGTATAACAGGTTAGCAGTCCCTCCAACACAAGGGATAGAGGGTAGGGATGATGGGGACCTTGACTGAGACAAGGAAACTACTACAATGAGGAAGAGAGGGTGAATACTGAAGGAGTGGAAGAACAGAGAAAAACTAACACAGGGGTGGAACCCTATCTGGAATGCAGGGCCACAAGTCCGACAGCTCACTGGGCTGACAAGGCCTCAGAGGAGGCACAGATGAAGGTCTGGCCTCCATGTGACCAGCCTGAGGGCAGAGTTGAGTGGAGTTGGTTGGAAAATGGACAGGGGACCTTGGAGAGGTGTTGGGAGGGTTGGAGGAGCATGGGAATGCATTGGAAGAGGGCAGAGAAGTGCAGGAACATGCTGGAAGAGGGCGGAGTAGGTGTTAGGGGCTTATGTTGGTGTCATGGTCATGACAGTATCCCCCCCTGAAGGCCATAGCAAAGCTATGATGGAGGTGAGTAAGGTCCAGGTTTGTGAGGATAGCGAGCATGGTAAGCAGCCAGCAACTCAGAGGCATGTTCTAATTCCATTGCCAGCACCCATGAGGTCTCATCATCAGTGTTCTCATAGCCTGCCCAGCAGACTAGATACAGTAACTGACAATGGCAACAGCGGTGATACACTTTTGAGTTGAGGATCTCTGAAATCTTGTACTCAAGGTCACCATCCACCTCAAGAGGCAGAGGTGGAGGTTGGTGCTGATCAGGGAAGGGGTTTGGAGTAGCAGGCTCTAACTGCAACACATGAAAGACAGGGTGGATGGCCCACATCACATCAGGTAAGCAGAGGGTGATGGAGTGTGTACCAGGTCTGGCTATGATAGCATAGGGGCCCAAGTTCTTCTCTGCAAGCTTGGCCAAAGGGTGGGTGGAGTGGAAGTACTTGGCCTTGACATAAGCCTGGTCACCAACTTTGAACTCTGGTGGTGGAATGCATCTAGCATCAGTCAGACCTTGATAGCAGAGTTGAGTGGCAGCCATCTCAGTGCAGAGGAAGTCATGCAGGGTGGAAAGCTCCACAACATAGTTATGGGCCTTTGGAGAGGTGAGATCGCGGTCAGAGTAAACTAACAAACCTGGATGGTACCCCACAAAGACTGGTTGGACTCCCAAGAGGCTGGAGGGAGCAATTGTGGCCTATATGTGTACCTTGAAGACAAAAACAGCAAAATTCCAACCTCAGAAATGCTAACCAAGATTTGAAGAGCTCTACATGCAGGGGGGATCAAACTTACACAGCACAAAATAGCACTGGATACTTGGGGTAGGGCAAGCACAACTGCCCTCCAATTCATATGGGCACATATGGAGAAAGACTTCCCTCTGTTCAGCTCATGGAAAGTGGCTGGAAACTTGAGCATCTGTGTATGAAGACATACTCAGCCTGGAGAACAAAATGTCTTGACAATAATGGCAACTTGAAGAGGACTACATGCGACACAATCAAAGGAGAGGCTCTCAATGATGACAACAACCTCGAAGGCCTCAATCCTGGCAGTAAGAAGTGCAAGGGACCTGTGGATGCTTCATTAATGCTGTCCAACAAGAAACAAAAATGTGAGTAATTCTATCTGATACCTTGTACTGATATGCGAAGCCATGGCAGCCTTGCAGTCCTGGGACCCATCAGAATCACCAAAGCTTGCAGCACCAAACTCATTGTCCATGCTGACATCTGCATCCATGTTGACATCCCTCAGTTTGGGAGCTTGTGTAGAGTTGCCAACACAAGGTTTGCATCATATTCCTCTGTGGCACTGACTCACACCCATATAGAACCACCTGAATATCCTGTTGAGACTGCTTCAGCACAATTGACCCCCCAGGATGTGGGCACAGCATTGGCCAACAAGGAAAACAATCCAAGCATTGACAATGCCAATATCCTGACTGCTGCTGAGAATCCTATTGTATATAATCCCATGTAACCTCATGTGTTCTTCAGGATCACATTTACTGATTTTGGTGTCAACTTTCCAGGAGTTTACTTGCAATGGCTGCAGGGAAGGTCAACATATTGTCTGTCCCTCCCATTGTGGAGAGTCCATGACTCAACAAACAAGGCCCTTCTGACAGCATGTTCACTGATGCATCCAATGATTGCAAAACTGGCATGAGTGACTCAACAACCAAGGTGAAGAAGACTCTACAGCCATTGGGCACAAAGAATGGACAGTAATGAATGCACAATGGCATACTTCATATATGTTAATGTACTCAACAGGAATTTGTGCATGCTATGGTGGTTGAAGAAAATCAACCCCAATGGACAGGAGGATTTTTGCTTGTACTGGGATAAGACTCTAATGCCAGCTGCATGTGAAGTAAATGATTTCACTTTCCACATCAACTATTTTTACTGACAAACTGTAGAATTACAACAATGAAGCCAAAGAGCTTGTAAGTGATAAACATGCCAGAAAAGCACTCTAACATGTTATTAGGTTGCAAAGAATACCTGGACTGAGTCTGTGATTGAGCAAGGTATTCTGCATGCCAAGGCACCATTTTCCTCTTCGCACGAAATCACATTGAACTGCATCACATTGCATCGTTATTTCCATCCACTGGAATCATTGGCACAGGTTATTATTTGACTTATCTTGATTGTGTTGCATTGGCATCGCCAATGCTGTCTACTATTCAATTAATTGGACTTTGTGTGCACATATTGTACTCTCAGGCTAGCATCCCCTGCATCCAAATAGGGTCATGTGTATTAGTCCCCCACCCAGTAGAATGTAATGTGTCATCACACAATGTCATATCATGTCATTTTCGAGCAGACAGTGCAGTGCCAGTGTGAATATGACCTGATATCACTAAGTAATATCATGTCATGCCAGGTCACATGCACTCATATTGAGCAAAGTTGGCAAGGGCATGACTTAATGTGGCCAGATATGACTCAGTATATTTTCACTGAAAAGATTATATGGTATCATACAGAGGTAGTCCCTGGTCATACTATGTCAGTCTCATGTTGCTAGCAGGCTCTGACTCCATGTGACTGTGTATCACTTGCCTGGTTTGGTCACATATGGTCACCTTGTGTCACACCTGGCCATAGCTAGTTTTCACTGGGTATCAATCCTATATGAAGTGGTACTTGCAGATGCTACCAGACCTTTATCCAGGTTTTTGCCTCTCATCTACCCACCACATCTGTCTTCATCTTGCAGAACTCCTTGAGGATTTCGGCCCAGTTCATGCTTGGAGGTGCTTTCCATTTGAAAGGCATAATGGGATGCTTCAGAAGATCTCAACTAATGGAAAACATGGTAAGCACACAGTATGGTTTTACTGGATTATAAGGCTAAAACCACATGATAGGCGAAATGGAGCAGACTATGCTGTGCTGTTTCTGCATAGGTCAACATCTGCAGGCTGTGTTATCTTCCAAGTCCATGCCTCACAAGGCAACAAGTCTGCTTCTCGACTTCAATCATATCTTTCAGACCAATATGTGGGGAACTTTATTCAATGATATGTTGTTGTTTGATGGATTGTTGGATGAAGTGGAGGAGGGTGCAAATTGCAGTGAGTTGGATCTCAAACCATTGGATCAGGATGACTGCTGCCTCCTCAATGAATGGCTCTCAAGACATGCAAGTGACTATGACACAACCAAAGGTGTTAGGCCCTATGCCTATCCTCGCCAGTCTATTAGTTGGCATGGAGAGTCCTTTGCAGTGGGATCCAAGTCTCCCCCAACAGCCATGTCATCTTCTGGGTTGATGGTGGGCTTGCAGCTGGAATAATTCAGCATATTTTCTACCATGCAAGAACAACAACTAGTGGGTAGAAGGCAGTGCAGACATTCTTTATCATGGCTCAATATGCTGAATGATCAGAAGAGTTCATACATGCCAATGTGTATGTGGCCTTCCCAGATGCAGGAATATATTGCATCTCCACAAGCACTCTTCCTGATGCATTGCTGATAACTAGCACAGATATAGTGTGCCACCTTGCCTCTGCAAAAATACCCATAAATGAAGGGTGGGGGATATATTGTATGTACAATCCCTGGATAAGGTAGGCATCACATTTGTCATGTTGATCCCATGAGCCAATCTCCAGAACTGGTTCTTTCCAGGATTGATATAATTCTGGTTGACAGTTAGCTGTCCCCACACAAGGTTGTGTAGTTATGATGCATTATTATTATGACCAAGAGAATTGGGATGTACTCAGGATGTAATTACTCTAGTTACCTCAATACATTGCAAGCCATACTCAGTATTCATGCATCCCTACTGTTGCAAATGAACTGTTCCATCTGTGATAAAGCAAGGCATTCATCTGAAGAGAACACCTCTTGCATGTCCTGTGCAATGACGTCCATGCCATCCAAGAACCTCTCAAGGGCAAAGGTGGTTACAGGTGCAGTCATTGCAGGCTTGTGGCACATTGGGCACTTGTTTTGTAACAGTGGGTCTCTACCTGCCCCATATGCAAAGTGACTCTGCAAACATGAGCAGCAGTATGTATGTCCACAATTGTGCAGCCTACATAAGGTTAACATGTAAACTAACTCACATGACTGGTCTATGAAGAACTTCGCAGCATATGCTGCAGGACATGCTGTTCTCTGCTAAAGTAACCACCTTGTGACTGTTACTGATTTCGAATTTGCATAGAAAAGTAAGTTCTTACTCTATGTACAAACTCCTGGAAGTGTTTCTTGGTGGTAGAAAGCTCTATGCACAATGCAATGTTTGCATCCATTTGGGATCCATACTTTCAGGTTGCAAACATGCGATAAAAAGCAACGAGACAAACCAATGGTCCAATGATTGAGATATTTTCAACTTTGGGCTCTGATACTGCTGACCAACAGGGAGGGATCACAACAAAATCACCATCATCACATTCCATGTTGATCAAGCCAAGTTAGTTTGCCAAGGTGCCACAAAGCTGAGTGCTGAAGATGTGAGGATATGAGGGGAGAAAGACACACAGAGTAGCCACACAAGAAAAATTGGCCTTTAAAACCATTCTAGCCATGGTGAATATTCCATGAATAAAGCATACTGGCAATCCTGCATTTCACCCAAGGAAAACAGGTCATAAAGGCTCAAACTGAATGCACAAAAGATATGTACCAATACCAATTACTATGCCAACACAAAGAGCCACAGACATTGAAGGAATCCCATGAGGCAGAGCCTGCATGTCACTTTGTCATAAAGCATATGAAGCAGTCCAATTTGTGTATTGGTGACTATTCTAGCATCATCAATAGCAAAGGGACTAATAGTGGGGTGCTGCAGTGCAACACCTATGTACTGGTGTCACACACCAAAGGTGTTGTGGACATGGTTACAGCTGACTCTGCCTAACTCATCAACAAGTTGTGCACAATGCCCATGCTGTACAGATGAAGACTAACGCCCTCATGTGTAGAAAGACTGCTGGACATGAGCAGTCATCCTTCACACAAGAATGAGTTGTCAGTGCTAAAGAGAAAAGAGGAAGCAAGTTAAGTGCACATTAAAAGTTTTTAGTGCCTGTGTACAGCATTCTGGTTTTCATCATATTGTCCATCATTCTCCCCACATTGTGACAGCTGCAGCATAATCTACTGTTCTCCAGCCTCCCTGATCACATCCATGATGAGTATGATGTGCAAGATCCAGCAGAAGATGTCCCCCCTTCTCCTCCTCCATCAGAGCCCCATTCATGAGGCTTTTGTTAACTTCACTGAGGGGATGGAAGGGTGGGAGACACAATCACTTATGCTTCCATTGCCCCATAGACCCCCAATGCCCTAGCCCCTTTGATGCCTGACTCATGCCCTTCAATTCTGGAATTGATACTTCCCTATCTGGAAACACTGTCCATCTGTCATGCCATCTTTGGATCTAGTGATGTCTCTGCTGAGATCTGACTTACATCGCCACCCCCTAATGTGATATCAGTGCACTTACTCAGTTTCTGACTCTATTTGACTCATTCTGTGATATTTTGACTATCCTTGACTTGTTCATTGCCAATACTTACCAATCCTCTTCACTTGCTTACTTTTATTTCTCGCTTACTCATTATGATTACTCAGTCCTTACTCATTACTTACCAAGCATTTGTGCCTTGTTTGTCATAGGCTGTGCTCCCCCAAGTATATAAACCCCCATATACCTAGCTACAACCCAAGCAATCAAGAAGCAATTCAGAAGTCACTTAGCACTCAGTTCATCTCAGGCATAACTTGTCATTGACAGTTGAGGCTCATTTGGAAGAGTCTATCTGTCTTCATTCATACTTGGTAGTTGAGGCTCCACAAAGGAGTCTATCTGCCTCCATTCTTTATCTGAAGCTTTATCCCCACTTAGTCAGCAGTCTTGCTTAGTCATCCTCCCACTCCTGTGTAACTCATCATCAACTTGCACCAGGAGCACATTTTATTGAAGTCCATAATACTTTCAGCTGAACACCTTCACCCTGTTCAGCATCCCCTATCCAGTCATCACTCACTTGTCTTCTCCTGTGTAACTCATCATCAACTTGTGCTAGGAGCACCTGCCATTGAAATTCTTCCACATTCAATTTTTTTGCACTCCAGGTTCTGCAGAGGCACACCACCACTTGCACATTATTTGTCTTTGGTGTTGGTTTTGGTTGGTTTCCACCACCTTTCCACACTTTGACTCACACTGGCAGGAGTAACTTGGCACATAACTCACATTCCTTGCTACCCCTGGAATATGTTGCTCAAAGAACTGGTCACAGCTGGATTGTCATGTAGATTCCATCATCCTGCTGCACACAAGGTCACCCATTGTTGGCTTTCTGTACAGATCAGACACATAGTCAAACAAGTCCCATTGTGGGTGTGTACTGTACATGAAAAAAACAAAAATCACCACAATGAGATAGAATACTGCAATTGCTAGAACCCTGATGCCAGTGTGCTACTTAAGCTCAAAGCAGCAGGTGCCCAGGGGCAATGACACCATCTTGTTATGTAACACACTTGGTTGCATGGGTTGACAGCAGTGACATTACCTTGCTTGCAAGGTCTCTATAATTGTGTGGGGGCCAACTCACCACAGAAATTCTTTCCATTTCTGGACTGCTGTGTGAACATTTGAGGCCTTGAGGGTCCAAGGGTACAATACCCAGAATATTTCGTACCAGCTACACACCAATCTACTGTATCAACTTATCTTTCCCCCATCACCTCAGCAGTGCAGGAGCAGGAGGAACACAATGAATCCTGTCCATTCAGATACACTAAGGAAGAGGTGCTCAGGATTTACAAAGAGGGTGGAGGGAAGGGCAGTCTGGGACTCAAAGTTGAGTGATGGGAGGGGATAGATAGTACATGAAGCTGGCAGCAAACCTGCAAGTCTGCGCAAAATGGATGAGACCAAGAATGTCAGATGAAAACCTGTAAAGTATGTCATGCACTTTTCACTCATGGACATGTAGCTGTTTGTGGGGCCACTAAATTCTGAAATTCATTGGTGTCAACCAAGTGATTTAGTAAATGCTTTGTCTTCGACATCTGATAGACCCAGAGTGAACCACATAGGTGGTGGGGGTGGTCTGGTGTGTGACCACTTTGGCCCAATGATGGGCAGAAGAAGGAAAAGTGCAGGTGAATTCTAGCTGGTTTTCACTCTCTTGTTAGTCTGACATGCATTTGTTTGTTGATCAAGATCAACCTGCATTGATGCCTTGAAAGTTGTCACTGTCCATCACACAGGGTAGTTCATGGGCCTCCCCTTATGAGGCACTTTCTTCCCTGCACAATAGAATGGGTACATTTGGTTCTGGTTTCAATGGCATTCTCAATAACAGTTCTTGGTTGAGGAGACATCCTTCTGTGAGTCTTGTTGGAACAGCTGGTACTCCAGCATGGCCAGAGGGCAAGGATGTGGAGTCAAGGCATTCAAACACCAAAGAAGATGAGGTTCATGTTCCCTTGGATGTTGATGAAGATGACCTCACCAGGAACAAACCAACAACTCCTGTCAGCCAGTCCAGATCAATCTTGGGCAGTGTCTGCAAATGATAGTCAGCCATCCACATCTATTGGCACTTCTGTTGTCCAGGGTGTTGCTGATATGAACTTGGGAGAACCAAACAATTTGGATATGAGCCTGCGAATCACAATGGCTACTAGCACTCTGGTAACTGGATCCTCAGGGTCTCGATGCTCTTACCCTCATCTTGTAGGTCCATTCCACACTGATGTTATGCAGAAGTAGTTTGATGTGGGTTACTTTACCCCTAAGTTACTCATGAAATGCACATATTTGGATGTTGAATGGATTCCTGTTGCAACTCTTGAGTGATGCTCAATGGAGGAAATGTCTTTCTTTTGCAGCCACTCTTAGTTCCTGGTTCACTGGGATTGACTCTCTGCATGGAGTCACCTCACAGCTACTCTCCTGCCCATGAACATAGCACCTTTGATGGTCACCAACCTGTACCACAACAGGCAGTACAAAGTATGCCCTTGGATCTGTCATACCTCAGTAATGTCTCTCCTTCAGACTCTCTGTCCTCATCCTTGGGAGCTGCCACATTTGGTGATGGCTTGCTGGACCCAACAGTATTTGGCAGTAGAGGCAGAGGTAGTGCATACTCTAGTGATATTAGCTATGGAGGCCATGGACTTGCATCACAGGTGCAACCTAAAGATCCAGTTGCAGACCCCAGGGTACCATTCAGTAACAGGGCACCTGGCAGAGCTACTTCACTTGATACATTTGGCCATTACAATAAAGGAACACCATGGTTGACAGGTCTCAGCCCAATGAACCAGGGCTTCAGCATGAATGAACAACATCCTTTCACCAATGGCTATAGCAGCATAACCTTGAATATGATAGGTCCCAATATTCCCATGACCCAAGTCCATCGATTTAACCAGGAGCCATTCAATGATGCACCATACAACGACATGGGCAGCATCAGCAGTCACCAACACCCTCCATTTGCAAAACAGGTTATTGAGGCTAATGGAATAATGTTTAGTAATGGCATGATCAATGGTCTCAGCAAATCACAGTACAATTCTCCAACTCGGTCCCAGTACTCCCAGCTGTCTGCCTCATTCCCACCCTCTGTGCAACATCAGGCTGTGTCACCCATTGGGGAGGTGTTGATGCAGCCCTCAGTATCCCCTCATGTATCTCACCCCCCAACCTCTGCCATACTTTTGGAGGATGACAAGCTGCAGGATTGTCAAGTCTATGGAGAGGAATATACTCAGACTTCAAGTTGGTTGAAGCTTAAACAATGAACTACCTATGGAGAGGAATATACTGTAGGTAGGTAAGTAAGTGTTCCAATATAATGAATGGAAGGAGTCCCACCTCAGACTTCAAGTTGGTTGAAGCTGAGGTGCAGTAAGGAAAAAATAAACTGCTAAGTGTCCGCTTTTGGCTTACATAATGCTGTGCTCGGTGAACCACAACTAAGGTAAAGGTGATAAACTCCAACACATACAAACTAATAGTGGTACATCACCCTGGCCTGACCCATCTCCTGTCTGCCATATGAGAACAGTTGACACCTCTGCTACCTCATCACCAGCTGTGATGTTGGCTCAAGCTCAGCAAGGGTTTAACTGGGCTTGACCAATTCAGCCTCCTCAGGCCATACCACAACTGAAGGACCCATCTCCTTGGCTAATGGCATCTTTGGGGGGTACCAATGACAGATGGAAAGAGATCCCTGATGGGCAAGGTACAGAGGATGTTTTATTGCTGGTTCTCCTATTGATGGAGGAGTCCCTACTCCTCCTGTCCTGCAGACACTGGCAGATGAGCTTCCAGTAGTGTCTGCAGCTCCAATACCAGCATCTCAACCAGTCCCCCCCAGTAGCAATCCCCAAGTGACAAGCAAACCTAGCTGTAAGTCAAAGCACATGATGCTCATGCATCAGTTACTGTGCCAAAGGGTGAACCAGCAAGCATTGTCAAGGGTCCATCTCCTGTTCCTACAATCTCCCTGCCTGCACTGAAATCTGTGTAGTCCACTGCAGACAAGGAGAGGAAGGTGACACCTACTGCAGCAATGAGTTTATGCAAGATTCAGGAGGCAAAGGCGAAGATGACAGAGGCATGTAAGGCTTCTGAGAAGGAGTGGGAACATGCCTGCAGTAACATCACAACTTCTCTCATTGCTTCTGGTTAAAAAGATGCCCAGCCATTTACTGCATCCTGGGGATTGCTGACATCCCAAGCAGGAGGAAGAAATACTGCAGCACCAAAGGAGCCCCTGATGCCTGTTACCCTGAGTGTGCCTGTTTGGATGACCACTGCACCAACCACTACTGTAAAGAAGTTGATGAAGGAGATCCAAGAGGATGAGGAGAGGATGAAGAAGGTAATAGTGAGAGAGAGTGTTGCATCCACCACTGCCCACCAGCCTTATGCTGAGACTACCTTCAAGGTTGGTGTTAATTCATCTTGTCAGTTTCTCTATTGCTGATACAGTACTACACTAGACTGTGCCTAGTGCACAGAATACTGGCAGTGGTGCATGGTCAACTATTGGGGCAAATGGTAAACCAGCCACACCTGTGGCTGCTCCTGTTATGCCAACAACTTGTATCATGTCATGAATTGAGTGCAATAAAGCACAAGCATGTGGCTGCGTGAGAGGTGATGTGTAATTTAACTTCACTAGCAGTGGGACACTAGTCTTGGCCAACTGAAGTTGTACTGTCAAGTCCTTGTGGGTACAGTGAGCAGAGCTAAGAGTGGTTGCAAAGTAGATTTCAAATGGGGAGCTGCTATGATACATGTGGGTTTATATATGTATGTAAAGTACCTGCAGAACAAACATTCAAAAATGTTTAAATGCACACCCACATCCCAAGTAAGGCAGGTGTGAGTCATAGTGAGTCACTGTGCAGCAAGACTACACATACAACCATGTCTGCAGGTGCAAGGGCACCTGGGGTGAATGTATGATGAAGGGAGGGTAACCACATATATGACATACAGGGGAAAACAGGCACACTGGGGTGCATGTGTCATGTGACCACATGGATCAGGGCCACCAGCAGATCACAGAAGGAAGGGGAATGGACATAATTTCTGGCTATAGTACAATGCAGGGTAAACAGGGGGAAGACATAAAAGGAAACACACACAGAACACAAGTCTAAGGCTTGTGGGCAACAGAACACTGTCACTTGAAAGCATGATGAGGCATGAGCAGTATCATTGTAGGGAGCCATATACTCCCTGAGGCTGGAACAAGAGTCAGTCACTAACTTCTGCTGGTCTTTGGATGCTTCTGGAGTTCTTCCTGCTTGTAACCTTGTGTTGCCTCCCAACCCCTGTTGCCTTCAGAGTTTCTCCCAACCTTTGGCATGTTGCCCAGCCATCAATGAGCTGATCTGGAAATTCCACATTCACCCAGAGTCATCTGGAATTCAGTAGCTGAGCCACTCCCAGCCACATCACCACTCACCCATGTCAGTTGCCTTTACAAAAAACTCTGGTCACCTCTGTCACCCCAAATTCTGCAAGCCAGACTTTGTGCCAGTACACTCTGCTCTCTTGTGCTTCCCCCTCCTGCTGACTCCACCTTTCACTTGTACATGTAACCTCATTCTGTCAGAAGATACCCCTTACCATTGTCCCATCTTACTCTTGTCTACTACTCACTGGCCCATTTCATGTGCACCTGTATTTCCTTGATGTCTGTCATCCTCTCCTTTATTTTCTGGTCATTGAGTTTTTCTGCCCCACTTTACTCCAACCTGTACCTGCTTGCCTTGTACTATATAATTCTGCCATGATGTTGGAAATATACCACCACCCACCTTTAGAGTCGCTATCTGTGTGTGCTCTGCAAGTTCAAGAAGTTCTCAGAGTCTAAGTGCATTTATTGAGTCTACAGTGTCTACAGCATCTCCAGTATTCAGCTTCTCAGAATTTCATATACCCATCTTGCTGTTCCTCACATGTCCACAACCCCCTGGAATTAAATTCTGTAACCCTCGCACATATTACCCCACCCCTTCTAGGGTAATCCTCGACTTCTCCTTCCATGCAGCACCCCTCAGGTCGATCCTAGGGAATTCTCCCTTCAGCTTTCCTCTAGTTGCATGCTTCCCAGAAGTTGTGTCCCACATCATACAAGGTCTAAAAGGGAAAGAATGTGAGTGCAGCATAACATCACCCCCCCCCCAAAGGCCTGAGGTCCTCTGAAGGCAGATAAAGGCCCTGGACCCCCCAGGAGCAGATCTCACTGTTAGTTGCCACCACAAGTTGGGCAGTTAGATGACCAATGTCCAAGGCATGAACATCAGTAAGAGGCAAACTGATGAAGGGGATGCTGCCAATCAAGGGGTATGAGCCCACCAAACTTGTGTTTGCTGAGGGCAGAGATGGGTACCAGGATGAAGGGAGAAGCCAGTACAGGTCTTGATGTCTGAAAAGCATAGAAGAGGGACTTTCCAGTGGTGTCTCCTCAGGCCTGAGTGACAAAGTCAAGCCAGTTGCAAGGGGTCCTGTTGAAGGGGACATCTGCAAGCATGTCTGTGACAGCCTGGAAGTGTTCTTGACCTTGGCCCAGTATAATCTTCTCCCAGCAATCATGACACCTCTGCTTGACATCTCCTCTAACCTCCGAAGTTCCTCCTCTTCCAGGTTGTGCACTCCCTCAGTGACCAGTTTCTTCTCCTGCAAGTGTCTGTGCTTCTTTTTGGTCAGGTTCCAAAGGAAGGCTCAGTCTTCCAGGTGTTGCTTGACTTGCTGGAGAGAAGAGCCCATGGACCACAATGTCAAGGGGGAGTTGGTTAAGAAAGGAATGGAAGGAGGATATAAGTGAGGGGCCAAAGTCTTTGTGAATGATCTTGATGACAGCTTCCTGAAGGATAGAGGAGTTGTCATGATTGATGTCCTCATATGTGTGTGCCTCAAAGCTTCCTTCTGCAGTTCCAACTTGGTCATGAACATGCTTTCTGATCACTTCTGAGCTTCGGAAGACTGTAGACAGCATCCATAAGCACTCGTGATGTTACCCTGCTCTCCTGTTGTGTGATTCCCAGTGCTGGAAGTTGTTAAGCAACTGCATGTAACCAAGGAAGAGTCTTGCCTCAGGAGCCAACCTGTTTGTTGTGGTGGCAGGAGCAGAGGGGGTGACAGCAGGGGCCAAGAGTGCAGCTGGTGCGACACAAGGCTTTGGAGATTGGTCTGTGGATGGTATGTGGTGGAGGCCTTCAATTTGATTCCGAGGGACTGGTAGAGGTTGTGAGTGAAAGCAGAGATGAACTGGGGACTGCAATCCAAGATAACAGCTTCTGGGACACCCCAATGTGGGTAGACATAGGCATGGTAGAGGTCCACCACACTGACACTGTCTACTATTTTAGTAATTGGTAGGAAGCATGTGCCTTTAGTGAGTCCTTGGTCAACAATTGTGAGGATAGAATCATATTTTCCTCCAGACAGGGGCAAGTCAGTAACAAGGTCCATTGACACTTGTTTGAATGGAAAGGGGTTCTTTGCTACATCATGCAGGGTGATAGGGGGTGTCATCAGATGCATGTTGACCTTGTTGGCTTGACACAATGGGCATCCTTTGCAGTAGTTGTGGATTGACTGGTACATTCCAGGCCACCAGATGCATTTATTCATCTTCTTCGTCACTGCCTTTACTCTGGGGTGCCTGAATGTAGGCATGTCATGGTACTGCTGAAGGATGTCCTGGAAAACAGGTTCTGGGATGAATATCCTCCTCCCCTTCCTTCTGACTCTGTCAGACCCTTCTGTTGTTTCTGGTACCAATAGAGATGTTGAGGCCTTCTTCACCTCCTGATACAGGTCAGTGTTCAGCTGGAAGATGTGTCCTTTACCTTTTTGAGCCTTTGACTTTTCCTCAGGTGGGCATTCAGGGGTTTTTGGTTCCTTGAAGGGGACCTTTCAAACAGGGGTAGGGGCTTTAGGGGCCTCAGGAACAGTCTGATCAATCTTGAAAAGGGAAACAACAGGGGGTCTCACCCCCCCTCAAGCCAAATGGCCTTCAGAAGTAGGGTGGAGACAGTAGTGGGCTCAGCATTAAAGTCCAAGCAGCAGGAAAGGGTGTCAGCAGCAGAATTTTTTGTCCCTGCAATGTGGACAAACTGAAGCAGGTACTCCTGGAGAGTAGCCTGCCAACAGGCTTGACGAGCAGTCAACTTCTGAGGTTGCACATAGCAGGTGATATTCTGATGATCAGTATATACATGAGTCAGCTCTGGGGGCAAAAGCAGGTAAGGGCACTATTGCTTGAGGGTGTGTATTACTGCTAACATCTCCAAGTTGTAGACTTGGTAGTTTTGTTCAGCTCCAGTAAGTGACTGTGACATATAGGTGCAGGGGTGAAGTGTTCCTGAGTCATCAGCCTGTGACAGGACAGCTCCAGTGCTGAGTTTTGAGGCATCAATGTGGAGTATGAATGGCTTCTTGAGGTCTGGGAGACAAAGAACCAGTTTGGATGACAGGGCCTTCTTCAGGGCCTCAAATGCAGAGGTCTGTTCAAGTCCCCAGGTCCACTTGGCATTTTCCTTTGAAAGATCATGGAGGGGGTGTGCAGCCTGTGAGAAGCTGGAAATGAACTGTTGGTAGAAGTTGCAGAAGCCTAAGAAAGAGTGGAGTTCTTTCAGGGTCATCAGATCAGACCAGGTTTTGATGGCTTTGATTTTAATTTCCAATGGCTCATACTGACCCTGATGGATCATGAACCCCAAGAACTCTATTTCTTCAGCTTTGAAGGTGCATTTCTTGATCTTCAGGTGGAGGTGTTCTCTGGTGGTGATGCACAGGAACTGGTGGATGGTGGTGTGCAGTCCTTCCCTGGTTCTTGAGTGGATAGTGACATCATCCATGAAGATGATGGCTTTCCTTTCACTCTTGAGCTCTCCAAATGTGTGGTCCATGTATCTTTGAAAAGTAGGCAGTGAGTTACACTGTCCAAAGAACATCACTGTTGGTTTGAAGGGTCCTCTAGGGGTGATAAATGCTCCTTTCCACTTGTCACCTTCTTTTACCCTTATGTTGGTGAAACCCCAGCAAACATCAAACTTGGTGAAGTACTTTGAGTCAGCAAGTTCATCAAGCAGGGTCTTGACATCAGGAAGGGGGTATGAATTGACAATGGTATGCAAGTTCAGATAGTGGTAGTCAATGGTCTTCTTTTACCATCCTTTTTTCCTACAAAAAATACAGGGGCAGCTTGTGAAGATTTCAAGGGGTGAATCTTCCTACACTTGAGACTTTCATCAATGAACTTGTCGAGAGCCTTGAGTTTGTTGAGCAAGAGGGGGTAGATGGCTCCTTTCTTCAGCTGGAAGCTGGGCTTCAAACAAATTTCATGGTCAAGGAAACCTCAGTGAGGTGGAAGAGGGATTTCTTCTTCTGAGAAGACTACAGAGAACTCCTGATATTCCAGAGGTAACTCAACTTCCACTTGTATGTGAGAAGCCCCAAGTTTCATGGAAATGGAGGTGCAGTTTATTTTGATGGTCCAGGCAAAGTCAGTTCTGTGGACACAACCTTTTTTGTTGAGACCATGGTTAAGTTCCCCCCATCCGATCAGCTTTCAAGAAGTCCAACTGATTATGGGGTTGTGCTCTTTGAGCCATGGCATTCTGAGAGGAGGGATTCCCAGTTTCTGAGCTTGAGGACACACATGCAGATGCACATAGTCTTTCCCCAGATCTTGGCTCTGAAGGAAGTGATATGGGTTACCCAATCTCCAGTTCTGCCTTTGTAGCTTCTCAACTCCCAGGGTCTTGCAATTTTGTGTGTCAGAATGTCATACTTTTGGACTACTGCTGGGTCAATGATATTTGTTTTGGCACCTGAGTTGATGGTTTGGATGGTAGTATTTTCTCAATCAATGAGGTAAGCAAAACCAGTGATAGAAGTGATTGACATATCTTGTTCATAATCATACACTTTCTCAGTCTCTATCTTAGCCTCTATCTTTCAGGATACTATCGGCTCTCTTCCTGACATTACACCAAGGGAGCCATTCAAAAATCCAGGCTTCCTTTCAGTCCCCCATCATCTGTGGGTTCATCATTCTCCCCACAGTAGTGGTCTATGGATTCTTGTTCTTGTTCTTCTCCTTCTGTGGCTTTATTGAACTCCTTGAGCATTGCCAGGATGCAAGTGCAGAATTTCTGGGCCAAGGAAGACTTACTGTTTGTTGCAGACAAGGGACACTTAGACTTCATGTGTCCTGTCTTACCACATCCATAACAGGTAGGAGCTTTGCTCTGTGATCAGACCTTGGACTTCCAATCAACATCCATAGTGTAAGGGTCTCAGTATGGAGTCCTTGGAGATGAAGACAACTTTGATCCATGAGAAGTTTGTTCTTGTTTCCAAAGATAGGAGCAATCTTGATATGTAGCTTTTCTGGAGAAGACCTTGAGAGTAGCCATTGCTGCTCAAGCCGCAGTTGCTTGGCAGATCCAGTCTTTGATGGTGTCTGGTTTGGGGCCAGCCATGAGGATCCATTTGTTAATTTCCTCATTAAAGCCTTTGCCAAAGAAGACTGCCACAGTTGACTCTTCAGTAGATATCTGGGCCTTGTTGAGGCAGTTGCAGAAGTCTGTGATGTACTCATCAAGAGAGTGGTCTCCTTGATGGATAGTGGAGAGATATATGAGTGTGGTTGACCTGGCATCTCCTACTTGGAAGGTCTCCTTGAGTTTTGCAACAAACTCATCCCAACCATCAAATATTTTGAGGTCCCCAAGTGCAGTAGTGTTTTCATTGACATAGGCTTCAGCAAAGGCATGAGCCAAACCACTCCCCATGTAGGAGAGGGCAAACACGATCTTGCATTGGTCCTTGTAGTAGATATGGTCATTGGTGGCAAGGTAAGCTTGACACTGCTCAACCAGGTGGAGAAATCCTGGTGAGCTCCAGTGTACAAGAAGGGTTTGTTCAGGCCAATTTCTTTCAGTCCCCCTCCCTTAGAGTCATGTTCCTTTCCTCTCTCCTCAGAACCTCAGGAGGGGCCCTTAGGCCTTACCACATCTCTACCAAGCAGCTTCTTGTAAAATTTGGTGGCCATTTCAGGGGTTACCCTACTCTGTCTGGCAAAGGGGTCCTGGAGGCTAAGTCCAGAGGTTTGGTGGGCAAGTTCTTCTGCCATTGGCTTGGTAGAAGTTGGCAGGTATATGTTGGTGGATGAAGAAGATGAGGGGTCCACTGGTCTGGCTGTCCCTTGTAGTTGTGTTTCAATGTCCAAGCCAATAGGCTGCAGGTTTTGATAAGTAGTAAAGTCAATTGGTGAGGTCGATTCTGCTGCTTGCCTGAGTTGGGGCCTTACTTGTGGGTCTTCAAGACCTATGCAAGGGTTTGGAGTTTGCACTGAAGGGTGATGAATAAGTGGCCTTGCTTGGAGGACTTCTTTTCCTTTATGAGAAGGTACAGGAGGTTTGAATGAAGAGGCTGCTGATGGAGTCCTCTTACTTCCTTCTTCTTGGTGCAAAGACATGTTGATGAAGAGGAAGGTTAGTGCCAAATGTTAGGGGCTAGCTCACTGACATTAAACCAGTGGTTCCTGTATTGGTGGTGGGAGGTGCTGATTTTGCAGGCTATTTTGCCTAGCAAGGATTCCAGAGCACAGGTATCCAAAGGGTAATCTGGTCTTTGATGTGGCTGGGTGATTCAAAATCTTCTGTTATGCCAATGACTTGTATCATGTCATGAATCAAGTGCAATAAAGCACAAGCACATGACTGCACAAGAGGTGATGCATAATTTAACTTCACTAGCTGTGGGACACTAGTCTTGGCCAACTGAAGTCATACTGTCGAGTCCTCATGGGTACAGCAAGCAGAGCTAAGGGTGGTTGCAAAGTAGATTTCAAATGGGGAGCTGGTACAATACATGTGGGTTTATATATGTATGTAAAGTACCTGCAGAACAAACATTCAAAAATGTTTAAACACACACCCACATCCCAAGTAAGGCAGGTGCAAGTCATAGTGAGTCACTGTGCAACAAGACTACACATACAACTGTGTCTGCAGGCACAAGGGCACCTGGGGTGAACATATGATGAAGGAAGGGTAACTGCATATATGATGTACAGGGGTAAACAGGCACACCAGGGTGCACATGTCACATGACTGTGTGGATCAGGGCCACCAGTGGATCATGGAAGGAAGGGGAATGGACATAATGTCCAGCTATAGTACAACATGGGGTAAACAGGGGGAAGACATAAAAGGAAACAAACACAGAATGCAAGTCTAAGGCTTGTGGGTGACAGAACACTGTCACTCGAAAGCATGATGAGGTGCAAGCAGTATTATACAAGGTCTAAAAGGGAAAGAATGTGAGTGCAGCATAACAGCTCCCCTGTGACCTGCAGCAACTATGCCTGGCTCAACAGTTGCTGTAGGACCTCCAGCTACAGTACCTTGACAACACAGTGCTGCTACCCAACCAGGAATGTCAGTAGCTATGCTGGCACCTACTAAACCCACTGCAACACCATGTGTGGAGGATTCTCCTGTTACTCCACATGAATTCTTGAAATGGCTGAGTGATTCATTGAAGGGCTTAAATAGCTCTGTCAATTGTGAGTGATGTTGTCAGCATGATTCTAGCTAACTTGTCTCTGAACCCACTTGCAGTGGAAGGGATCACTTCGATGCTTTTCTCATTCCCACTCAACCCAGACCCATCAATGATCGAGATTATTTCTGACCTTATCTATGCCAACAGCACAACACTTGACAGTCACAGGTTTGCTTCGGAGTATGTAAACAAGTGCAAGGCTGATGCTGCAGCAAGGCAGAATGCTGCCAGCATAGGTGGTAACAGTGGCAAGCCTATTTCAATCACAGACATTGTGAAGACCCAACCAAAGACCATCCAACAGGAGTGGGGTTTCAAGGTAGTCAACAAGAAAAAGAAGGGAGGCAGGTTGTAAGCAGGCCATGATGTGCTGGCCAGAGTCACATAGGCAACCCCAGTGATATATTACTTGGGTAACCAATGCATTGTTCCCTTCATTGTGCTGTATCTGTGCTGTATCCTGTGTGATACCCCTCGAACACTTAATACCTTACTGTTGGAATGAAATGACCCCTGTCCTTACTTGGACTTAGGCATGTGATCGTGTCACTTACATAAGCTGTTAGAGCACACCCATACACTAGTAAAATTTACCTAGTCCCTCAGTAGCTTGACAGACTACTGAGGGTGAGTACACTTCTACATAGATAGAATACCCTTACTAACTTGTATAGTTCCCTACAGGTACTATACTCAATATTAGTAGCTTGACAGACTACTGAGGTTCCCTACAGATTCCTCTCTGGGTTTCCCCTCTGCAACCCCACAAACTTCTTCACTTACCATGCATCATATCTATCCAAGATTCAGTGGTTTCTCCCTCAAGCCCACTGCTATGTATGCATTCCCACTGTAACCATACCATGGTTCTGCAACACTGTGAACATCATGACATTTGGGGCCCACCAAGTAGCTTATTTGTGCACATTATTCCTCAACTGAGACAGAGCTGGAGGATACACCACTGTGACAAGATTAAGGATGGCTATTGATAAATATCATCTACTGATAGTGTGTATTTGACAGACAACTCACTAGGCATCTGACAGACAACTGCAAGAACTCAACAGAAAAGTCTACAGTACTAGAACCCAAGTAAGATACAAGCATGGCAATAGCAAGCAAGGTTAGCACTGACACAGGTGGCACTTCCTGAGTTCAGAACTGGGAAGATGTTCACTTACCAGTCACAACCCCCAGCACATCAGCCATCCGAAATGGGGAATGGGTTGCACAAGTACTATGGAAAGTCATGCATGCTGCTTGAAGTGTGTCCTTTTCCATGCTTTCCATGCAACCTTTGGTTTACCTCATCCAGCTTCGCATGAAGGGTGTAGTGGTCCTGTACACGAACCTCTGATTATCACCAGATGATTCTAACTATCCTTGGCATGATGTGCCAGCTACCATACCAATGACATATTTTGGGGCTAGCTACAGAGGTTGATTACACTGTTAAGTACTGCACTTTCTTTGTGGCCATTTTCATGACAGTTGACAAGTATCTCTCTACTAGGTTAGCCTCCAGGAGCTCAGATGCTCTGCTTGAGCAGTGGAGTACCTCAATGTGCAATTTTGTTCCAAGGATCACAAGCAGTTTTTTGAAACCCTCAAGACTGAATATGCACAACCTAGTAGCAGCAACTCACATGGTATGAGCCATCCATATCTATTACCTTGGGCTATGGACAGGCACTGGAGGTCTCGAGTCCATGTTGCAGGGTTCAAACTAACATGTCCACATCTTGCAGGTGCATATCTGTTGAAGAGTCATATACCATCCAAGGTGTAATGAGTTTGGCTATCCACCAACTTCTTAGCACCTCGAAAACTCAGACCCAAGGATGAATAGGTGATTGCATGCATGCTGTCCACATACATCCACTTTCTATGATGACACTATGCAAGTGCATGATAACATGGTTAAATGTTAATCAGTGCACAACAGATTGTTACAATCACAAATTAAAGGATGATCAATGGCCACTACCATCTGTGGTGAGTACAATGCCCCTCTCAGACAAAAGTCTGTTGAAATCCTGAAACAGGAAGGCAATAGCTATGCCATATGATGACCTTTATAGTGACAGGTTTGAATGCCATGTGCCCTGTCTTCTGTGCTCCATCCTGAGGTTTTGGTGCAGGATGATGATCTTCCACTCATATCAGGCCAGGTGCTCTGACTGACTCATTTCTGGATCTGGGTCTGCTGATAATTAATTTGGGAGGACCCACTGTCACTGTCATGTTAGTCACAAAGCCAACATAGTCACTTTGTTCTGTGCTCTGCCACTGATGAAGTACATATCTTGTAGGGGGTTATTGGCAATGATTTTGCATCCATCTTTCAACTTCCCATCAGCTCTATATGCAGTCTACTCTCATGAATAACATTTTACACTATACTCCATGGCATAGGAACACATTTGAGCCATACAAGCTTGCTCAACAAGTCTGAAAGGAGAGAACTTTGCAATGTCTTGAGCTGTCAGAGGTTCCTGATGCAATTCTAGCAGGTGATCCAAGTTCTATGGACGAGGCAGATACTGAGCCACTTACTTCAGAGGTGCCCAACACCACCTCAGCAGATGATCCAAGTCCCATGGACAAGGTGAATACTGAGCCACATACTTCAGAAGTGCCTGGCACAACTCCAGCAGATAATCCAAGTCCCATGGACAAGGCAGATACTGAGCCACCTACTTCAGAGGTGCCTGGCATAACTCTAGGAGATGATCCAATCTCTGTGGATGGGGCAGATACCAAGCCATTCACCCCTTCATGACATGATGCCCTTGGTAGCATTGGTGCACCTGTCAGACTGCACCATGGACATATCAAGGTATGTAGTGTTTGGCCACTTCAGGTGTGGCCATCTTATCTTTTCTGATTCATTCTGTTATAAGAAACTAGTTCACATCTAGGCTCTACTGTCGAGTGGCCCAGATTTCCTACCCCACTGCTGCATCCTATGTCCAAGAGGCCCAAGTCTCCTACCCCATGAATTGAACTTAATGGTATGGCAAAATGCACAACCACTTCCCACCCCATGAAGAAGATGAAGACCAGCCATACTGTTTCCAGCATGAGCTCTCATGGACCCATAGCAAAACCCCATACTGTGAAGGGGCCTAGGTTAAGACTGGAACAGGATTCCATTCATACTGGACAGGATACTGGAATGGATAATTCCAATTCTACCAAGAGCACAGTACATTGTTCCAGACAACAGGTCACCTTGCCAATACATTTATGTATTTTTTATTTGTATAATAGGACTCTTCAGCCCAACTTCAGGAAGTTGACATGGAGGGGAGCCAAGCCATTCATAGCTTCACTTTCAGATTTCTGATGCCCCAAGAGATATTCATGGGTGCAATGGCAACACTACATTTAGCTGGCCAAGGATGAACTCACAGAGCCAACACAAGTCCTCACAGTGAACACATTCCTGATCTGAACGACATGCCCTCAGGAAGCCTGCAGCAAGATGCCAGGTCTAATGCTCAACAGAATTAATCTACCTCCAATGGTACTGTCATACCTATGTTGTCCCCTGAGGCACCACAAGACTTGAATGATTGATTCTCTTCCATCTCATTGATGCCTGGGCCTCTCCCACTGCCCTGCCTGTTGCTGCCCAGTTTGTTGCTCCTGACTTTTATGGACCAGGATCAATTGCAACCTCTGGAGGAGAGAACTCTGCATATACAGATTGCATGGTCTGTACATCACCCAGGGCCTCCCAACTTGCCAGGCGAGGATGGCAGACCTGGTACAGTGTCTAGTAATCTACAAAACCAGCATTAACCCATTTTCAATGATGGCAGGGCACCTCATCCTCACAATGAACTTGATCCTGACCTAAATTATGGACCCTCTGGAAGGCTGCCACATGATGTTGGGTCTAATGTGCAATGGAATGAATCTACCTCGAACTCTAATGTCATGCCTCCATTGATTTCTGAGGCACCACCAGACATGAATGGTTGATTCTCATGCATCTCATCAACACCTGGCCCTCATCTGCCTCCCTGCCTGTCACTTCCCAGTTCATTGCGCCTGACTTTTACAGACCAACTACCTCCAGCAGAGAGAACTTCCCCACAGTCTGTATGTCACCCATGATTTGGTGAGGATGGTATACCTGGTTTGATGTCTAGAACTGCACAAAATCATTACTACCCTGTTTTCGATGGCAGCCAAGCACCTGGCATGCCCACACCTGCTATCATGCATGATTTTTCGGTTTCTGCTTGTGCAAACAAATCGGCTCAGTCAGATGCTGGCATTGCTGGTGTGGAGCTGGACAACAATCATTGGCAAGATGATGCCATTGCACCTATGACGATAGCACATCCTTTGATGACTCCATCATTGCTGGCCTGCAATCACCTGTCATCACCTGTTGCAACTGTGACCATAGACTCGCTACTGGGTCTTGTCACTGATAGACCTGAGTTCCCACCAGGTAATTTGGTTTCACATCCTGGTACTGTCTGTTGGCTTTTCACTGCTGCTTGTTACTGACACCTTACAAGTGACTGATTTTCTTTATGATTGCATGGATAATGTCAACATCAAAGATGGTGATGAAGGTTATGGTTTTGTAGCTACAGACCAATCCCGAGTGCCTGGTTTCCATGACAATGATGCTGGGCTTGCTGATTCTAGCAGAAATCCTGATGTGAGCCAGTGATCCCTGGGATGGCAGGTTACTTGCCCTATAAAATCAGGACCTTATGGGAGTGACATCTGCAATCGAAAGGAGAGCAGTGGAGGACCTTCCCCATCTCCTCAACCTGGTACTGTGTCTATTGACCTGTTGCCACTGTTTTCTACTGACAAATTCCAAGTAGCCAATTTCCATGATGAGCATGTAATGGAATATGGAGATGATGATGATGATGATGATGAAGGGTATGGTTCAGCAGCTGCTGACAAATCCCAAGTGCCTGGTTCCCACAATGACCATGCCATGGAATGCGGACATAATAATGTTGATACCAAAGATTACAATGAAGATTGGAGAGGCTATGTGGCAGACTGCGATGGTGAAGATGGGCCTGTCAGTTTCAGGGGGCATACATCGGAGAACCCAGGTGTAAGCCAGGGATTTGCAGGACAGCAGCCTTCAGATAAGGCAAGTAATATGTGTATGGTATGATCTTGCCCCAACATTCCTTCCTCATAACATGTACTGAGGTTGCTGTACACAGGATGTGGCTCTTGAGCAGCTCTTGGGAGGTGACCATGTCTGTACTGCTGTACAAAGCTATGCTGCATATGTTCATGAATTTTCAGAACCAGTCCATGACAAAGGCAGATCTAATCATACTCATGTCCACAGTGCTAGACTTGCATGATGCTATTGTGATGCAGGGAGCCATGGAAAAATTGTCTCCAGCCCCAAAAGGGCTATCTATGGTCACACCTGCCAACCCCATGCTTAACCCTGAGGAAGAGCAGGTGCCCAACTATGAACAAAAATACTGACATGTTGTGACACCTGTTTTACAGGTAGGTCTAGCACCCTGGGTGAGGCATCTTGATACTAGGATTAATGTTGTACAGGAAAATGTGTGGCAGCATGCAGTCCACCTACTAGGTTGAGGGAACAAGTGGCATCCTTTTCCAATGGCAAGTGTTGCCTCATCACAAGAAACTGCACTATATGCTGCTACAGGGTGTGGAGGGCCCACTGCTGAAGACTTCCATTTGGACTCCCAAGGACTGCTTTCTTCAGACTGGAACAAACATGCTACAGAAGTCTTTGCATCTCACTTCTTTGAATGTGGATGGTATGGTTCTCCAAACAAAAGCATTATTAAGAAAGTCTTCTGCACTCACCTGCACACCCTATGTGCACAGTACATGGATTTGCAAGCCAATAGTGACCCTGATGACAAGCAGCTGCAAATTCAGCATGACAAAGAAAAAGAGAATGCAAGAGATCAGAGATGCCACTCAGTAAGATTTCTTCTGACATGGCATAGGACTGTGCTGAATTCTGGCTGCCTTTCATAGCTGTGACACTGTTGGGCAAATGCTTGCTCAGCACATCTGGACCTTGCGCACTTTAAGCCCCTTTGGAAAACCCTGCCCCATGATGCAATGAGTGGCAATGAGACCAACCACCTGCCTGGTTTGAAGCAGTATGCCATTACATGACTGAACTGGCACTCTCAGATGGCTACCAATTGGTTATGAGTGTTTGATCTTATTCATCTTTCCACCCAGTTCAATGTGAATGGCCAAACCAAACATGGTGCTTGCCCACATACATGGGTCCCTTCACACTGGGTGGAATCAGCAGGTCTGGCAGTCCCAGGCTTACTGAGCAACTTCTATGATCGTACTTGGCTCCTCAATCTGGATGATGATGATAAAGTCAAGCTCAACATACTTCCAGAGGTGGATTTATCACACATGGAGGCTGTTTGAGGTAAGTTACAGTTCATCCCCTCGCTTGTACTCCATGGGGAACATATCACACATTTCTAGGGTAGTGGAGAAATTCAAGGGCATGAAAGGGAGGAAGCTTGCAAGTAGTGAGGTACACAGTTCTTAGGCTTGGATCATTATCCTATTAGAAGGAACACATTCTGTGGTGTACTTGTGGACAGCTGTTACTACTTGCAGGCATGTGCATGCTTGGCCCCTGGTACATGTCACCTCTCAATGTACTCATGTTGAGCCTTAGCATTAGTAGATTGTTATGCTATCATATCTGGCAGGCATGACTATGCAACATCTGATACCAATGATGAATGCATGTTCTGATCACTCAAGATTGCTCACCCCATTGTTTTGTTGTTTCCAAGGATAATGTATGGTTCAACTATTCCTATCTTATTGCAACTGACCACTGAACCATTTCTGCTGTGTATATTTTCCTGGTGGCTTCAACAGGTAATGTTTCCCTCATCTCTCCACAATCTCACTTGTGACCACTCGAAGAGGTTCATGAAACAGGCTACAATATGCGAGTTGGAGGGAGCAATTGAACTGTTCTGTGCAGCTTTGGAACTATGTACCCCTGGGCATCAACATTGGCCTTCATTGCTCTGTGAACTTGTTCTCTGTCTCTCAAATAGATATGAAAATCAAGGGGTATTATACTCAGATGGGCAGGACTAGGGCTCTGTCTGCCAGGCCATCCTGGCCATGGCATACCTCTTCACAACCTTGCTTGTGACCTCAGGAGGAGGTTTGTGAAAAAGGCTGTGATTTGCAACTTGGGGGGGGAGGTGATTGACTTGCTCTGTCAAGCTTCAGAATGACATCCCCCTGGACATTCTGATCAGTTCTCAATGATTGGTCCTGATTGGTCTTCATCCCTCTGTGAACTTGCTCTCTGTCTGTTCAATAGACATGCCAAGCTTGGGGTAGTCAATGGCTTGGAAGAAGAAGCTATCCTGCTTGGACACACAGTGCTAGAGCTCTGTCCAACAGGACATCCCAATCATGGCATATCTCTCCACCTTGCTCATGACCTCTGGATGAAGTTTCAGTAACAGGCACACATGCCTCAGTTGTGCAGGGCATGTTTCCTTGATCAGGCTACATCAGTGGTCCATCTGTCCAATGAGCAAGGCTGATGTCACCTCTTCCCTGTTCAACCAGGCCATGATGACTGACTTCGATGATACCATTTGTCTTTCAATGTCACACTTGGAGCTCTGATTACCTTGTGAAGATGTTTCCATTACAGGATGTGTTCAGAACCACTGAAATGATGAGGATGGCAGGGGTGGGGCTTTGTTCCAATAATTCACAAGGCATGGGAACTCAAACTTACTTTTTCCAATGCCTTTCAGGCTCAGATCTCTCATCCCATTGTCACTCTCCACTACCATCAGTCGTTTCTTACACCCTCTCAATGCTTTCTGGTAAAAGTGATGTTAGACCCACCTTCTCCTCACACATTCTTTGCCAAGACCCCCCATTGTTCTGGTGTTTCCCTTGAGTGAGATGTAAGACTTGTATCCTAGTTTGTTCTGAAGCTAACTTCAGGTAGGAAGTCCCTATCTTGTGGCAGGTATTTCCCATCCACTGCCAGCATTCCAAGCTGCATCTTTCCTACCTGAGCATTGCAAAGTTCATATCACTAGGCTGATGCTTGCACTTTGTTGTTCACACCTTTCTTTAGCTATTGTCCATCTATTATTTAAAGCTGTCTTGGATTGTCAAAGCATTCACTCATGAATTACTCTGTTTCACCATCGCATAATGGGTATGTCTACTGAGCCACAGTGGACTCATATGTTCACCAAGATCGAAGCAAGGGCATGTTTCAGGTCTGGATCTGGTTAGGTGATAAATAGGCTGACACTCAGGTCAATGCTTGTCATCCAGTGTTGCCTGGATATCATCTAAAGTTATTGGACAATGGAGACCCATTGTGGGTGACCAGGAAAATGATAATTACTGACTAAGGCAGGGAAAAAAGAAAACTATAGTGCTGAGCTATTGAGCCCCTACCTCCACTCCTGTTGTAATTATAATGAACAAGATTTTTTCTATATGAGCTTAGTTTTAGGCATATTCAGAGAAAACATGTGTTGTATTGCTGTATTGAATTGTGATGAGTGAGATGTTCAGCTCAAAGGTAGGGAATAGAAATCAATGTATTCAGGATAAAGTGCAGCACAAAAATGATTAAATGAGAGTAGCCCTATTGACAAGTTGAGAAAGAGTGGCTATGCAACTTGGGAATATCTCAACAACCATAACAAGGCATCCCTAGAGACAGATCAGTCAGGAGAGCAATGCACCCAAAAAGCGAGAGAAGTGGTGGTGAAATGCATGAGATGCAACCACAGGACATTGAGGGTGGACTTTGCCACAGAAATCAAGATATCTTGACAACTGCTGGATGGAATTAGATGGATGAGGCATCCCTAGAGATGGACTGGTCAGGAGAGCAAGCCATCTAGAAAGCAAGAGAAGTGGTGGGGAAATGCATGAGATATGATCACAGGACTTCAAGGGTGGACCTTGCCACAGAAATCAAGACATCTCAATGATGGCTGCATGGAACTGGGCAAAAAAGAATCAACAGGATGGGTACAGTGAGAAAGATCTGTGGCTCGAAAAGTGAGAGAAATGCCTGAAGGACACATCAGATATCAACACAAGACCTCAAAATGCAAATTAAATCCAGAACCACTGGGGGCATCAAAATGTTCAGGGCATCAACATGGAGCCATCATTGAGTAGTATGCACCTGTGTAATATTGAGAGATGTGGTGGGAAAATAAACAAAGTAGACTGCATGTTGATGTTGGGGCTGGATGGTGTTATAACAAGCATGCCATTGTGTTTCTCCAATACAGTGGGATAGTAGAACATCATTAACCACCAGGGAGGAATTTTCCAGGAGAAGTCAGTCTGAGTCTGGCAGAGTGGTATTTGAGTAACTCTCATATATTTCATCTCTCATGATATGAACATTATACAAGATGCCAATTATGATATTGTGGTATGAAGTACAGGAAAACATTATTTGAACAATATGACTGATTTGGTTTTAAATAACTCTTGTATGTTTCATAGTACATAATGCAAGCATTATCCAATATGCCAATTCCAATATGTGGTGATGGCATACAGGAAATGTTATTTGAACAATATGACTAATTGCCATTCAAATATTGCAAGGCTAGTGTTCAAATAATGTTGCTCCCATAATTAGGTAATTATATTAAACCAATAATGACACATGCAAGAGATATTTTGACTGAAATTTTGATTCCATAAGCATATTGCACAACACAAGATGTGAACATTACACAGATTTGATTTAAGATATTTCTGTCATTTTGTCATACACATTATTTTGAAGTTATTCAAACTAATGTTTACTATAATGTCATGAAATATGGTAAACATTATTGGAATTTGCACCTTGTGTCAGCACATGATTCTGCCTTCCAAGTTTGTAAAGGATCCTCCCACCCTACACATTGCTACAGCACTCCATCCATCAGATGCTCATTTTGCTAAGTCCATCTGAAATGGCCACCTCTTCATTGATCATCTTGCTTGTCTCTTTTGCCAGAGACAGTGGCTATGTATATCTGCCAGGCATTCCCATGAGCTTCCTTCCTGAAGCCCCCTGGTTCATCCTGTCATTGTCAGCCCCATCTCATCCCATGCAGCTTGGTCAGCATGTTCACCTTGTCAGTATGACTTTCAGGATGTTCTTTGGTCACCTCAGGTCTGTCACATGGTTAGAAAGGTCTTATGTAGTCATTTTGGTCTCCCCACTTGATGAAGCATATGGATCCTTCCTCCCTGCTCCATGCAACATCTATATTCCAATCTCATCCATTGTTCTCCCCACATTGTGACAGCTGCAGCATAATCTACTGTTCTCTGCCCTCCCTGATTGCATCCATGACAAGTATGACATGCATCTTGCCTTCTTACTGCAAGACACAGCAGAGGATGTCTCCCCTTCTCCCCCTCCTCCATCAGAGCCCTGTGCATGAAATGTTTTGTTAACTTTGCTGAGAGGATGAATGGGTGGGAGATGCAATTGCCTATGCTCTCATTGCCCCACAGGCCCCTAATGCCTAAGCCCTTTGACACCTGACTCATGCCCTTCAACTCTGGAATTAATACTTCCCCATCTGGAAACACCATCCATCTGGCATCCCATCTTTTGATCTAGTGATGTCTCCGCCAAGATCTGACATGCATTGCCACCCCCTAATGTGATACCAGTGTGCTTCCTCAGTTTCTGACATTCTTTGACTCATACTGTGATGTTTTGCCTGTCCTTGACTTGTTTGTTGTCAATACTTACCAATCCTCTTTGCTTGCTTACTTTTCATTTCTTGCTTAATTATTGTGATTACTCATTGCTTACAGTCCTTACTCATTACTTACCAAGTGTTTGTGCCTCATTTGTCATAGGCTGTGCTCCCTCTATGGTATATAAACCCCATGTACTTAGCTACATAATCATCATCAGGAATCATCAGGAATCCAGTCAGTCAGTTCAGTTCTTCTCAGCATAACTCATTGTTGACAGTTGAAGCTCCACAAAGGGGTCTATCTGTCATCAATCATCTGCTGTGGTATCTGAGGCTCCCTCAAGGGTCTATTTACCACCATCCTTTATCTGAAGTGTTATCTGTGCTTAGTCATCAACCATGCTTAGTCATCCTTTCACGCCTGTGTAACTGTGATGGGAGTGGCCATCAATGAGGGTGACAAAATAGCAGTATCCAGTTTGTGCAATTGTCTCCATTAGTCAGCACACATCTGAGTATGTTGATGTTGACTTGCACCAGGAGTCCTGTTGGCTGAATACCTGTGCTCTATCCAGCATCCCCTATCCAGTCATCACTTGCTCATCTGCTCCTGCATAACTTGTCAACAACTTGCACTAGGAGGGCATCAGGTTTAGCTCATGTGCTACTGCCTTGCATGATCTCAGCCCTCATATTTCAGAGGTAGAGACCAGATGGATGATCACACATAATTCTGACAGACAGAAGACAGAGACAGAGGGAGTAGGAACTTAGTTGATATTTGTACTGAAGAATGGCAGAGTACCATAAATGATTTTATACTACTATGGAGGTACAGTGACCAGAATTGGAACTGACATATGGAGACTTGTAAATTTGCAAGTAAAACTTCCTGGATGACAAATGAAGGGAGGACAGAGAACATACAACAGGCACTGGCCCACATGATGTGCATGCTGCAGAGTACCTGACTGTGCACTGTCAAGGCGAAGTCTGAAGAGAGGTCACATGGCCTCTTAGGGAACAGTCTGCATGGTCTGATGGTAGACTGGTACAAGTCTGACAGCAGTCAGAGTGGAGAAGGTTTGTAAATGACAGCAAATGGGCAGAGTTGGTATGGAGTGAATGGGGACTTAGGATAAACACACAGTTGTGACAGTCCCCCCCCAATCAACATGAGTTGATCATTTGAAATTGTTCTGATGCCTCAAGGACAATAGGTCCAGCCATGGCAGAGCTCTGTCAGAGTTTGAAGAACTGCTTAAAAACATGTGTTAGAGTACTGAACCTTCATATTCTTGTACCCTCATCATGGCCTCGCAGTGCCAAAGCAAAACCCCCCAACCCACTCCTGGCCACATCTGCAACTACTCCCTGGTCATCCACACCAACAACTCCACCAACAAAGAGAAAGAGAAGTCCACAGAGAACCCATGTCATCAAGCAGAAGCTGAGTGGAGAGAGAGAGAGCAAGGCTAAGCAAGAAGAGGCCAAGAGGCAGAAGGTAGATGAGGCTTGACTGGAGGCAGAGTGGGGGGAGAGAGAGGAAGAAAAGGCATGGAGAAAGAAAGTGGCAGAGGAAGATGATGCATGAAGGAAGAAGGCAGCAGCAATGGAGGCAGAGAGGCAGTGGCAAAGGGCCTTGGAGGAGAGGGCCCAGGCCAAGCAGAGCAAGGCTGCATAAAGGTGAGTAGCAGAGTACTGCAAGTCAGGTGGAGCTGACTTGTAGATTTTTTATTTACTTTTATTTTAGG